GGGAAATACAATAAAACCCTCAGGTACATCTGCTTTGCAATCTGCAAATCCGCCCTCCTCCTCCTAGCTTCCATCAGCCTCTCCATCCTCCCACACCCACTCCCCAAATCCACAGGGGACCTCGGCTCCTTCTGATTGGTCGGGGATGAGGCAACGAGGGGGGGACGGGAACAATGTCATCATGTCGCCTTAAAAAGAGTGCAGCTATGTTGTGGTGAAAGGACCTCGAGAGGAGAACACGGGATCAATAGCAGGAGGAAACAAACAAACAGAGAGAAAAAAGACGCATCAGATGGTTTGATTTTGTGCGCGAGCGGCTGAAAGTGGTTTTCTTCTTCCCGCAGCGCCCAAAGTGCCTTCAGCTCCCCGCAAACATGCCCAGAGGATTCCTGGTAAAAAGGAACAAGAAAACCAACCCGGTGTCCTACCGGGTCCGCTCCGAGGACGAAGAAACGGACCAAACGGCGGCTGATGCTCCGCCGCTGCTGCCGCCCTCCTCCTCCTCTTCAGCGCATCTCGTCTCCATCCCGGTGCGCGCGCTGACGCCTACGCCCACCTGCGGGGCGGCGGCTACGGCTCCGGAGCCGGATGCTAAGCCCGTGCAGTTCGGGAACCCGGAGGCGGTGTATCAGTCTCTGTACAGCCCCACCCGCCCCGTCAGCCACGAGCACGACCGCTCCTACTCCGAGGTCCGCTTCAGCCTCGGCTCGCCGGTTTCCGCGGAGTCTTTTCCCACACCGGCAGCCATCACCGCCCTGGATCACCTCTTCGCCCCGGTGGACCTGAAGATCGGCTCCAGCAACAGCAGCCGCCCCGAGAGCAGCTCGTCATCCGCCGGGACGCTCCCCGCCGCTGCAACCGGCGGCTCCAAGCGCTGCGCCAACGACGCCGAGCGCAAAGGCAAGCCGCCGTCCAAGAAAACCAAAGCCATCCGCAAACTGCACTTTGAGGATGATGTCACTACGTCTCCGGTTCTCGGGCTGAAGATTAAAGAGGCGCCGGTGGACCAGAAACCTCCCCGAGCGCCACCGGCCGGAGGAGACCACGTCCCGCTGGGGGAGTTTGTGTGCCAGCTATGCCGGGAGGCGTACGCAGACCCGTTCGCTTTGGCGCAGCACAAATGCTCCAGGATAGTCCGGGTTGAGTATCGGTGTCCCGAGTGTGACAAGGTGTTCAGCTGCCCGGCCAACCTCGCCTCCCATCGGCGCTGGCACAAACCGAAGCCGCAAAATACGCCGAGCGACAAGGTGTCCGCGTCGAAGACGGCCTCGGATGAAGCAAAGGATTCTAGTGACAGGGACACACCCAGCCCCGAGCCGTCCGAGTCCGGTTCAGAGGACGGACTGTACGACTGCAGTCAGTGCGGGAAGAGGTTTAAGCGCCAAGCCTACCTGCGGAAACACCTGGCGTCGCAGCACGGGTCCCCAAAAGCGGCGGAGGAGGAGGACGCGGCGGGCTGCGAGCAGAGCGCGGCGCCGCTCAACCTGAGCGCCTCCTGCTGCCACCTGTGCCCCGTGTGTGGGGAGAACTTCACCAGCAGAGGCAGCCAGGAGCGGCACATCCGCCTGCTGCATTCCTCACAGGTGTACTCGTGCAAATACTGCCCCGCAGTCTTCTACAGCTCACCGGGACTCACGAGGCACATCAACAAATGCCACCCGTCCGAGAACCGGCAGGTGATCCTGCTGCAGATGCCGCTCCGCCCCGCCTGCTGATCCCGAACTGTGGACTGGCACACACCGGGAATCAGAGTCCACCCGCGTGTTTCTTTTTGTTTTTAGGATTTCAGAGTTCCACTGAAAAATAAAAAAACATCTGTACCCTAAAGCACACTTCCTTAAACTGAGTAACAGATGTAAAGAGGTTTGTGAGAAGTTGTAACTCTGGGAGTAATTCTGTTTCACTGTAGCTATATATCTCCAAAGGACAAAACCACACCGAAGTCCAATCTTCCTCAAAGACACGTGAAAAATTTGCTTATTTGTGTCTTTTCGAGTAAAAATTATCGTCAAATAATTCACATTTTCTGTGGTAAACAGAGAGCCAAGCATGCTCTCACATATCCACTCACACGCAGCTTGCAAGGTTTCAGTGCCTTGCTCGAGGACACTTCAGCAACCTCTGGGTGTGTGTGTGTGTGTGTGTGTGTGTGTGTGTTTGACTCCTCCTGGCCTGTAACCCACACCCACGCCCACCCCAACATCACTTAAAATGATCCTCAAAGCTCTTTTTTTTAAAAAAAACGTTAGACTGTTAATTTATTTTTCTAGCATCTCTGCACAAGTGCTATTAGCTCCTAGACCTAAGAGAGGAGATGACCTGTAGGATATAAAGCAGACTTCGCAGGCCTGAACAGACCTTATCTCATCACTCTGATTAGCTTTAACATAGCTCGTGGATCTGTGGATCAGTAGCTGTCGACTGAAAACAAAAGAGAGTAAAACTAGTGTAGCCGGTAATGCCTTTGGATTAGAGACTCCTGCTGTAAAACTGCCTTAAACTGACCTGATTGTTTTTATTTATCACTGGCTGAGCATATGATGATAATTATTTTCTACAAAGCCTTCTGTATTACCAGTATACAGTATATCTAATCTTTTTTCTATTTATTTATGTATTTATTAAATTATTTGTGTAAGTTACTGCTTTGTGTGGTCGAACCTGTGATCTGTCGCTGTGTTTTTTCATCATGTAGCCAAATCCTTTTTATTTCCTTTAACTTATGTGAGGGCGGCGTGTTCATGTGGCATTATAGCAATCAGTGAGCCGCTCCTGAAGACAAACCGAATGCAATCATGTTTTAATTTATTATTATGATGATGATTATTTATTTTGGTTTTGTTGTAACCCTTA